ATTTGTCTAGGATTTTGTTGATGTATGCTAGTTGTGACAACGTGATACCGTTCTTTGTTACCGTTATTTCTATTCCCAGTAGGAATTTCGCATTACCGAGATCCGTACATTCGAAATCTGCCTTAAGTAGTTGTCTGATTTCGTTTCTGAATGGGGAGTCGGGTCCGAATATCATGATGTCGTCAACATACACCGATATGTATAGTTGGTGTTTCTTATGTATGAAGACACATGGGTCGAATTTGGCTGGGACAAATCCTTTCCGTTGAAGGGAGTCTGCTAGGCAAGCGTACCATTCACGGGGTGATTGTTTTAGTCCATATATGCATTTTCGAAGTTTACAGACCTTATGGTCCTGCCTGTAGCCTTCAGGTAGTTCCATGTAGATTTCCTCCTTAAGTATACCATATAGGAAGGCTGACTTGACGTCCATTTGTTGTGGTATCCAACCGTTGTGTGCGGCTAGTGCAAGTAGGAGTCTTAGGGAATCGTATCGGGCAACGGGGGCGAAGGTTTCATCATAGTCTTGATACTGTACTTGGGTGAAGCCTTTGGCGACGTATCTAGCTTTGTATCTTTCGATTGTTCCGTCCGCGTTGTGTTTTACCTTAAATACCCATTTTCCTCTGACTACTGCTCGGTTGGTTGGTCTGTCGACAATGTCCCAGGTGTGGGCCTTGTCGAGGGCGTCTTTCTCTGTCTGTATTGCCTTCTTCCATAGGTGTTGATCATCGCTTTTCATTGCTTGATTGAAGGTGGTAGGTTCAGTTACTAGGTGTACCCGATGTATGGTGGAATCCAGGTTGTCGTACTGGCTTTGGAGCTTTGCTTTGTCCTTTTTGTGGTCTAGACTGGCTGCTTCCATTGCTAGTTGCTTGGTTTGTTCGTCCATATCTTCATCGGCTAGTATCTCTGATACCTCCTTGTCATAGGTGGTTCCTAATTCCGATATTTTCAGTCGGATTTCCTTCCTTTTCCCTTCGATATCAAGTGCTGCTTGTTTCTCCGTTCTTTCACGGATGCGATTCGATCTTCTTGTTGTGACCGGATGCGGGACTTCAGATTCTTTCTCTTTTTCGGTTGTTGGTTTCCAAGGTTTCGATTTCCTTGGTGGTTCCGGGGGAGGTGTTTCTGTGTTTTCCTGATTAGCTTCCTGTTTATTACTTTGTTCGAGGTGACGTCCAGGAGTGGGCCTCGTAAGCCCGGCCCCCAGTCTACTTGCGTCTGTTTCAAGGTTTTCTTCGAGTGCTGACGATTCGGGTTCTTGATCAGGCCTGTCTTCTGATTCATATCCGTCGTCTGTTGGTGCAGGTGCCGCTTCTGGTTTCAGGATAGGGTTGTAGTCGAGTTCCACGGAGACTTCCCCTGATTCAGGAGGGGGGAATGTGACATCTCGACTTACAACTAACCTATTTTGTGATCCTATCCAGGTGCGGTAATGTTTGGGACTGTCTGAGTATCCGACGATGATTCCTTCGTGTGCTCGGGGTGCTAGTTTGCTTCCTGCTGGCCTAGAGTTTTCTGGGATGTGGACATAGCATTTCTTTCCGAATGGTTGAAGGTGTTGGATACTCGGCTTTGAACCTTTCAGGGCTTCGAAGGGGGTCTTTCCCTTTAGCGTACTGTGGGGTAGCCTATTTTTGAGGTAGACAGCTGTTGAGTATGCTTCACCCCATAACGATTTAGGATGGTCCATGATCATGCACCTGACCATTGTTGTTATCGTCCTGTTGAATCGTTCTGCAACTCCATTTGATTCAGGAGTGTATGGGGGAGTCTGTTCGTGGACTATTCCTTGTAGGTTGAAGTAATCCATTGTGTCTTTGTTGACGTATTCACCACCACCGTCCGTTCTAAATCTCAGTATTGTTGTATTGTACTGTTTCTCGATTTTCGTGACGTAGTCTTTGATGGCTTTTTTCGCATCGTCTTTCTGTTTTAGCAGATCTATCCAGGCGAAGCGGGTATAGTCGTCAATGAAGGACATATAGTACAGGGCTTTTCCTTGCGATTGTGTGCCGAATTTTCCAGATAGGTCAGAGTGGATTAGTTCGAATGCTCGCTGGGATCTTGTACTAATTGGTGCAGGTTTCTTGTGCACACTTTTTGATAGTGCGCATTGACTGCAATGGAATGTTTCTGGTTTGGGGGGTAGCTTATGGATGTCTTCGTACAAGTTTTCTAGTGTCGCAGGGTGGCCTAGTGCTTGATGCCATTCAGAGTAAGTGGTCAAGCGTACTGTATTGCTAACTACTTGTACATTCCAAAGTCCCTTATCCAATTTCGCCCAAATTATTCCTTTCTTTTCTTTCGTGACCAATTTGTTTCCTCCTCCTGACTCTGTTCTAAACCCCTTTTCGTCGAGTATTGTTTCTGAGACCAATCCCACATTTCCCATGGTTGGGACCAGCAGCACGTCGGTGAGGACAACGGTGGATCTATCTCCATTGGGAAGGTAGCATTCGAAACTAGCGCTTCCCAATCCGGTGACAGCGTGGATGGTGCCGTCGGCTGTTCGGACTGTGCTGGTGTGAGAACGGATGTTGAAGAGTTGGTCTTTGAAAGGTGTTACGTGAGAAGTAGCTCCAGAATCAAGGATCCAGGTAAGGGGCAGAGAGGGTGAAGTATCGGTGCGTACCATGCATACTGTTGTGGATGATTCGTTGATAACTACCGACGCTGAGTTATCTCTGCCTGGTCTCCTTCTGTTTGAATCCCTTGTCTTGTTCTGTTCTTTGAGCTTTCTACACTCCTTGTACTCGTGGCCCTGGTACGGGTTATTCCGTTTCTTGCACCAGGTGCATTCCTTGCCGTTTGGTGTTGGGGTACTCCTGGTATGAAGTACCCTGTTGTTGCGAGTGAGAGGGGTTTCCTCTTGTAGGTTTTGTAGCCGTTGGCGTACATCTTCGTATGTAACATCCTGTTTAGTCTGGATGTTATCGACGACGTTGCTCATCGACTTCGGCAGTGAGGCAAGTAGGAATGCTGCCATTGCTTCGTTGGATTTGGTGAGGGGTAGCAGGGCCTGAGCGAGTTTGTGGTCGCCGCTCTGACACCTGGTTTTGAGAGTGTTCCAGTTCGTGTTGAAGATCTCGAGATGCTCGGTTAAGTTACCGTTGTCTTGCATCTTCGTGTCTAGAACACGGCTGAGGAGGGTGATCGTCGTGTTTGGTGATACGCGATCGTAGAGGTCTTTGAGCGCCTTCCATGCGTGGTATGCATTTTCGGCGGAGACGACTGTTGGTTGTATGTCTTCGGCTACAGCTCCAATGAGAAGGCTGTGCATTTGTTTTCGGGCCTTTTTGATTTCGGCCTTGGTGAGGTCTGTGTCATCTTCTGAGGGGTTTTCGATGCTCAATGCTTCCCACCAGTCTGCTGCATCGAATGTAATCCTCCAGGCAGACGCCCAAGTTTGGTAGTTGGATTGTCCCTTTAATTTTGGGAGTCCATCAAACTTGATGCGAATGTTACTGGGACTCGTGTTGTCTGAGGACTTAACCTCCACGGCCTTGGATGATTCGCCAGCATCAGACATGATGTTGTATGAAGTGTAATTGAGTTAACCGAATGTGACGAGTGTTGTGCGGATTTTATTTGGCAAAACCCGGGCTCATAACCTGAAGTTCGTAGTGTGAGAGAAAATGACTTGAATGTGGTTTGAACACGTAACCTTGAGGGAGGATGTGTTTGTAGTGCGAAGAAGATACTATTGCGCCGCTAAAGTTTCAGCGACAATGTGGATGTTTGAGCGCTCTATATATACAGATATTCTAACACCACGTGATCCCCTGATTACATAATCCCTGACACTAAGCCTTGTCTGAATCCTTGTTCCTTCTATGAGTCATCCCTTATACATGAGTAATTCCATACATAACCGATGTCGCAATGCCATATTTCTACAGACCACCTCCCCACTGTTATAACCAGACAGGAGTAGAACAATCAATTAATATTAAATATCCACATTTCGATTTAGCCTATTGCGCACGAGTACATAGTTAAGCGCGATCGATCTGGAGAGCGCCAAGAACTAATTCCTTCTCAAGGTTTTTCCGCCATGCAACCCTCCAAGAAATAGAAAATATATACAAACTGCTGTACTTTGTACCAGCTTCGCCAACAGACCAGTCCCGGACCGGACGGGACTGTAGTCAGACTATGGACTGCATTATAAGGGTAAGGGTTCTTAGAGTGTCACCTAGGTCGCTTTCTTACTAGGTTGAGGTAGCTCTCGGGCTGGAGTTCATAGACAATATGTATTACTATTGTTGAAGAAAACCGGAATAATAATAAAAAGGTCTTGTCTTATATTCCTTGTGCTGCTAAAGGATTGAGATTGATTCATTTATCATAAACATCATAATAAACAACCCCATTTAGGTAGTTTATGCAGTCCGCAGTTCTCAGTCGGTCCAGTGTTTGGACGGACTGGCTTGGCTGGAAAACCGCAGTCCGTCCGTTTTTTTGGACTACGTGTCTTGGCACAGTCGACTGCAGTTGGACTGAACCACTGGTGGCGTTGCAAGTTTGTACTAGTTGTGGCCCAAAGTACTGAGCACTCACGAATGGAGACCCATCGATGTGTCGTGCGTATCAAACCTCCCCTGTCGCCCTCGACCAATCAAATGCCAGAAAGTTTGGAATAATCGTTAATCCAGCCACATATAGCAGATGGATTCACTGCGAGTTACAGCTTCGTCCACGACAGCCTCGCTCTCGCTCTCCGCATGACTCATCACGGCGAAAATTTGGGATGGTTGCCTGACCAGGCATCCAGTCCGCGTCGCGGCGCGTATCCCAAAATTAATGACGCGACAAGTATATGTAGATACATAACATTACGAACGACGAATAACATTAACGAGCTGATAAAAATAGGTATTTTACAATAAATGCGAAGTAGAGATATAAGACAAGACCATTTATAATCACCCGTAAACACCTAATCCTATTATAGTTCTAACAAAAGAAAGCTACATCAAAGCACCAACGCCAAATCAAAGAAAGTCCGCCCCCGTCCGATCTCCATCATCCTTCTGCCCTTTTACACACTCATGGTAGTGCTTCACCGCCTCGTATGAACTCTTCACAACCTCCTGCAAGCGATGACCTGTCAGTATCTTCATCCCCACTAGTACCAGCAGCGCAGCACCAGTCAGATGTATCATCAACGTACCCGAACCTTCCACATTGCCACTACCAGGCCCCCAAAGTCCACGACATCCTTAACCTCCTCCGGATAAGTCCACTCACTCCCCCTCTTCAGCAGATAAACATTCTCCCCCACGGCCTTCATCAACACGACCATCGTCTTGGCCCCCGCCTGTAACACCCCCGCCGCAAGCACCTTCGCCATCGTTGTCTCGTGCCCATCAACAGACGTCCTGATTGCCTTGAGGATCGCGCGACATCCCGCAACCAACTTCGTGAAATCCTCCTGCCACTTGGCGGCGTCGTAACATCCTTTAACCTCGATGACCGCAAATTCGAGAACGGACTTAGTCGGGGATTGGTGTGCGCGGGTGTGCACGACACCGTCGTAGCAGACAGTGTATGGAAGGGCAGGGTGTGGGTCGTGCTTGTGGGCCCGGAGCCGTTTCTCTTTGCTGTTTTCTTGACTGTCAGTAATTTCGCAAGAAGGCAAGGAGTTATTTGATGCCGGGGAGGAAAGGTCACTAACCGTTGTAGGAGAAGCGCAGGCAAATTCTGGTATGGATCGTCAAGGAGCCGGGAGTATATCGCTTCCCAAGAACCTTCATTGAGTCGCTCACGGAGGAGATGAGAGCATTCAGTGGTGAGGGAGATACTGGATATGTCAGACACCATATTGGTAAGACATTGCAGGAGAGGCTTACGCTTGCTCGAAACAACTGTCGATCCAGTACTTGAGATACAACATGTCTGGCTCCCTCTTCACGATATTGAAAATATCACTCTCCTCATTCGCCCACTCCTCATCCGTCTCAAAGGCTAACCTTCTGGCCGCCGCGCGATCTGCAATCTAAACGAATCTGTCAGGAAAGAACCCAAGCGACTAGGAATAGCGACTCACAGGTTTGTACATACTGATGTGCTTATCCAACACTTTCGGAAACTCTGGTAACCGCATTTCACTCCCTGCAGGTAGTCGTCTGTCAGGCAAAAGGGACATCACCACCTTGTCGTCCTGATCAACTATAAACCAGTGCACGAGACTAATTGTGTCTAGGCGGCTCCCATACTCGTAGAGTATATCCTCTAGATACTGCCCAGTGGAGAGGTGTACCTTGTTGATGGAGTGGTGATGTGCGCGATTGAAAACTGTATAGAAGTATGGCGGCAGTGCGTTATGCTCTATTGTAGAACGCCCGTCGCAGGATGACTGAGGACGGAGTGGAGTGCTGCTTGTAGTACTCACGACGTCGTCGAGGCTTGCGTCCAATACGGAGGCTTCGCAGGAGGCCTAGCGCCCACAAGGAGGACATTAGTTGGAAAGATGCTCTCGAGCTAGATCAGGACCAGAGAAAAGAAAAGACTCACCACTACTGTGCTATCCACCAATGCCAACTCGTCTACATGGGTTTCAATCACAATCCTTCGTTGCCTTCTTTTTTTTGCCGGCGGGCCCATGTCGGCCGTGACCGGTGCCGCCCGCTTCTGTTTTGGGAGCACTCCGTAGGCTTGAGCCCACCTTCGAGCACATACCACGTCAGACACTCGACCCTATATTACGGTTAGTTATATCAACGCGAAAGAGAGGGTATGAAATAATTCAATCAGGACGGTGAACAGCCACCACGAATGTGACTGGGGCCTGGGGTTCATCAGGACGGTGAACAGCCACCACGAATGTGACTGGGGCCTGGGGTTCATCAGGACGGTGAACAGCCACCACGAATGTGACTGGGGCCTGGGGTTCATCAGGACGGTGAACAGCCACCACGAATGTGACTGGGGCCTGGGGTTCATCAGGACGGTGAACAGCCACCACGAATGTGACTGGGGCCTGGGGTTCATCAGGACGGTGAACAGCCACCACGAATGTGACTGGGGCCTGGGGTTCATCAGGACGGTGAACAGCCACCACGAATGTGACTGGGGCCTGGGGTTCATCAGGACGGTGAACAGCCACCACGAATGTGACTGGGGCCTGGGGTTCATCAGGACGGTGAACAGCCACCACGAATGTGACTGGGGCCTGGGGTTCATCAGGACGGTGAACAGCCACCACGAATGTGACTGGGGCCTGGGGTTCATCAGGACGGTGAACAGCCACCACGAATGTGACTGGGGCCTGGGGTTCATCAGGACGGTGAACAGCCACCACGAATGTGACTGGGGCCTGGGGTTCATCAGGACGGTGAACAGCCACCACGAATGTGACTGGGGCCTGGGGTTCATCAGGACGGTGAACAGCCACCACGAATGTGACTGGGGCCTGGCGTATGAGGTTATATCAAGAAATCGCAAATGACTTTCAACCTAGCTACTAATAGGCTATAAGCGAAGTTAGCAACTCTAGTTTGTAGATGATCAGGATCAGGACCTACAGTGGAGAACAGCCGATATTAATAATTCATAAGGCGAGTGGGGTTCTAAATGAGCTCGGTACTCAAAATCCCTAGATGAAGCCAACGGGCTGGGCCCAATTCGCTCTTCATCTCTAAGGTTATGGAAGAAAATGTCAGCGTCTTGATACTACGTCATGGTGTTCTATGTTATCATTAATTGCTGGACTTACGATAAACATACCTTGGAGTTCAACGGCTTACTGTGCTTCGCGTGGGCCCGTGGTAGAAGTTGGGGTCTAAGATGTTATGGGGCAGAGGACAGGGAGCAAGCGACGACCAGGGAGTGGTGTTCTAGAATACCTTCAAGTTCCATCGTTCCAACAGCACCTTTGCTCTATCTTGGAAGCGGGTATTCGGATCGAACTTGAGTTCCCTGAGACGCGTATGGTAGGTTTCGATGGCTTTATTGTAGTCGAAGGGTCTTTTGTTCTGTTCGCACCGATTAAAGAAATTCGTGAGGTAGGACAGAATGCTCCATTTATCGGGCACAGTTGCCGTGAAGTAGCAAGACATGAGTAAGAGTGATGGGGAGGGAGGATGGGTAGGGATGGAGTGTGAAGCAGTGCTAGCTGGGCTGGCAGCCTATTTGTGTCGCTGGCCACATTTCGAGCTAGCGTTCAAAGTGGGAACCCATTTCCTCGGAGTGGCCACTGTCTATCACAATAGCCGTCGTTGGATGTGTGACCCGTCAATATTGTTTGTTCTCTTACCTAAGGCTATCAGTACTCAGAGAGATCAGGCCCAGACAATCTACAACAAAATTAATTGAGGAACCGAACTATCTGGGCCTATCAAGAATTAACCCCCCTGAGAATTGCTAGAGATACAACTTGGACGACTATCGGTCAGCCACGCATCACAGTCTTAGTGGCTGACCCTTCTTCACACACCAATTCATTCCAACCAAAGTTGGTGCTCACCTCGCTCCTACCCCACAGCCCTCCTTGCCTCTTCTACCAACTCCAAACAGGAGTCTAGAAACAGGCTTTCTATGGCTGAGCAAGCCAATAGGACTTTTCCCATACTTCTACAATAATTTTACCTCACGCTGTATTACTCAACTAGGTAGTTTACTCCCCTTACTCAGGCTACTAGTACGTAGAAAGTAGAGAAGAGGGGGTATATTTCTATCATATCATTCATGCAACAGAGACCCGGTTTGAATCAGGATTTTACGAGGAGAGAGCAACACACCACTTCAGTGCAAAGATTTTATTGGCTCTGAGTCGAGATAGAGGTGAATTTCTCAATGTGTGCTTCTCATAGCCAATAAGAGAAGTATCTAACTGAACTGACCATGACCTATTTAGAGTACCCAAGAAGGTCTGGCCGAAAAACTCTTGCAAAGTAGACCTTGATCGTTAAGATGAGTGTTATTATAGTACAACTAAGGGAACACAGTGCGATATGTAGATTGAAAAAGCAAAGTCAGAGTTATTATAGACTATGGTAGAGCACAGACCCCTTTCTTTCTCTAGCCTCATTCATTCGCTTATAAAGTAAGGTTCCTTAGTCCAGCGTGGATATTCCCAGGCTAGCTGTTCTTGGGCTGTAACGCTACTAAAAAGGTAAGAGTCCGCTCGAAAGTAGAAAAGATAATAGATACGTGACGAGCGTGACTTTAGATCAGAGTTTTGTGGACTTGCAACAGGGCTTGAAAATAAAGAAAGGGTCCACGAAGACTGCAACAGGGAGTTGGTTTGTTGTTGGGGCGGCTTGTGGCTGTCATCCCGTGAAGCGGGCCCGTGGTATTAGACGATACAAATTGAGAAACACATGGTTCAACGCAAAAGTGGACTATTGGGTCCCACTTATGTATTAGGTGTGCTTAAGTTCTTCCGTGGAACAGAGGAAGAGACTTGGCCAGATATTCAAATTAGCAGATATACCTCAGCAACTCGATATACAGGATTTCCAAGATTCTAAGTATTTCGTACAAAAGATCTTGGATAGCAAATTGATTTTGCAGTAGGAAAAGTAATTCTCAGAGGGTCTCGTACGAGAAAGCAAGGATCCGGTGTATTGAGTTCCGGCATATCGAGTTACTACTGTAGGTCACAGCTTTAACCCCGCTCCTATCATAGCACCATTAAGTAATAACGCAACCAGGGAAACCAACTCCCGTGAATTGAGGGGAATCCGTTCAAAAAAATATGCAGGCGTGTGATTAGACAGTCATCCAACTCTAATAGAGTACAGTCGCACCTCGCTATCTCGTAATTCGATATCTCGGATCTCGTCTCTTACGGATTTGTGGGACAGGGACTGCCCTCCTCCACCAAAAACTATTTGCTGTCTCGTATATTTGCTATCTCGTAGGGGTTTGGCTCCCAGAATACGCTAACGACATAACGAGGTGCGACTGTATGTATTCGTCTCACTTGGCCCAACCTTCTTCTTAACAGCTCTACCTATTGCATGTGACGAGCTCTTTAATGTACTTCGGGGGTAGGGTAAGTGAGAAGACACCCTTCACGCAATCTTGGCATCGTGGTGTCTTCTCACTTATCCCTGATACCGAAGTACTCGATCGCCAGGCTCCGCAACGGGTATCCTTCGAAAAATGATGTGGCTCCAGAAGCCCACAGGCCTTATCTTCTCCCAACATTCAATTATCCCTTGGTCTGGTGCCGATTCTGCCCGCCCTATCCCATAATCCGGTACTTACTCGCGACCAGCAACAAGAACCCGAATATGCAGCTGCAAGTCTTTGGTGTATTTTTGACTTCTACTCCAATGGAAATTGCAGATTAGGACGTGCATTTTTGGGTTCTTGTTGCTGGTCGCGAGTAGATACTCTCTAGTTCGAGACAAAATAATTACTAAAAGAGGAAGGGTGGCAGCCGAATAGGTGTGTGATCCAGACACAAGCAGCTTTAACGGACTATTGGATAAGGCAAACTGACTTTGTATGGGAGATCTATTATTTTATAAAGTAGGTAACAGTAAAACCACACAGAATTTTCTTTCTTTGGGTGGGCAGTATCGACAAACGAAGCAAGGCGTAGCAAATTCTCATTGGCTCAAATACATGAAAGTTTCTCAATGACATTACATAGTGTCGTCTCTAAGCCTGTAGAGCAGAATTGCCCGATGCACCAAATTAAATTGAGGATCCGACCCGAGGTCATTTTCCCGGCTTTGCAACTCGATATACCGGATTGCCAAGATTCTAAGGATTTCGTACGGGATAGCAAAAAATCGGGGATAGCAAATTGATTTTGCAGTAAAAAAAAACCAAAACCCCAGAGGATTTCGTACGAGATAGCAAGGGATCCAGCATATCGAGTCACGATCGACCGTAGACAATTGATGACCCCCCGGCCCCGCGGAGTTTGGACGGGAAGAAATCTAGGAAGCGCCCCCCAGATTGTGAATCTGCGGGGGACCAATGTGATTGGCTAGAAAGTGCTGGTTGTTGCGGGAAGATATTTTCGTAAAGGTCCACGGGAAGTCATTTTTATGTTACCAATCGATCAATCAATGGTTGATGGGAATCATGACATATCACTCGGTCACAAAATCTAATCATATTTGCCGAAACTAAAGGTATCCCTTGGACGGACCTAATGTGGCAATTGTTGGAAATCCTTGGCTAGTTCTATTATTGTAGCCAACCGTAAAAGCAAGATAATACTCTTACCAATTGTGGTGCACGGTCCGGGCCGCGGGTTAGAAAACCTTCATCCTTCAAGGGATAAACCCACGTAAAGTGTTTCGCCGGATCCGGCGAAATTATCCCAAAACTGGTAGGCCCACCAGCATACTCAGGAGCCAGCATACCCGGGGTACGGGGTCATGCCTACCCAAACAACGCTGGACTCAATCATTACGAACCCTGAATTCTGATTCTGGTTCTAAGTCCTCACCCAACCAAATGATTCAATATCACCCGTTTAAAAACTACCTCCTAGAGGTACCCCTTTTTGTGCTGGCGATATAAAAGTATCCCTCAGTCTGTCCCCGAAAAGTAAGGGAATTTGGTGACGCTTTACCAATGGTCCTGGTTATCTCTCTCGCTAGGTAATTCTTATACAAATCTAACTTCATTCTTACAGGTGGGAGCATTGCTAGTATACTCGCACGTCAATTATGTATTTGCCCAACCAGCAAAACACACCAAAAATCGAGGTTTTCAACAACTCATAAAAAGTCCCACACCTAAACCAAAATATCAACGACCAAGTATAGTATAATTTTGATAAAGGAGGTTCATGCTTCAAATTCTTGGCCCAATTGAGATAATGGTAAAGGTGCCATAAAAGGACCCTTTTAGACACATTTCACCTTCAGTGCTTGTTCTTTGTACATATGGCCTAAAAGTGGCCTGTAGAGTCTTTCAGGTGTCTGGATAGAAGACACATAATTTCAGGGGAGATGGGAAAGCTCTCTGGATTCTGTGTGTGTTTTGCTGGTTGCGCAAATACATACTTCATATGCGAGGAATTATTGCGTAAAACAGGGACCAACGATCACGCCGAGAGCAGGGCGATTCCCTAACGCCACATTTCCACAGTAATTCTACCGATAGCTATATAGTTGCTATCTCGTAATTGGATATCTCGGATCACTTGCTGTCTCATATGGATTTGCGGGACAGGTACTGCCTTTCTCAGGCCACCCTTCAAGATAAGGGACCATCTCCGTCAAAAAGTAGTCAGCTGAGAGTGATGCACCTACATATCATCTACGTGTATCTCGAGTTGGCTCAAACCTTTTCTGCTGCTCGACTTGAAAAGCTCAAGCTTTTGGGTGTTATCTCTTAATACCCCCGCTTGAAATATATTCTAGACTAGCAGTAGGCCACCTCGCGACCGCGAGTTGCGGGTTCCTTTGGAGAGGTAAGTGTTTCGGTGTGCCACAGTTTTATTTTTGCCCCCCGCCCCAGGGGATTCACCTCGATCCTCTTAGCCAATTCACTCTGTTTCTTGATATTCAATTTTCCAATAGTTCTTCAATCTGCCCCAGTTTTTTTGGAGTTCATCTCCTCCCAGTTAGATTTTATTCTTGATATTCTTGATACCGAATTGTCGAGTAGTTCTTCAATCTACCACAGTTTTTTGGGAGGTTCACTTGCTCCCAGTCAGTTCACCCTTCCTTGATATACTCAATAATGTATTCTTGATATACTTCTGAATAATGTATCGTTTGGTGGCAGCTGCTCAGGACGGGTCGTGCTTAGCCAATATCCCTAACCCTGAAATTGTCTCAAACATTGTCTCAAACAGCGCAAACCGGCCAACCAAACCGCCTCTAAATGTCTTACGTGTTTTTGAGACATAGGGTGTTGCAGTATATTAGATACCGTTAATTCTCGAGAAATCTACTATCTCCGCTTCGCTAAATCTTAATTCCGGGTGAGAAAAAGTATGTGTGTACCTGCACGAGTCCGTGAAGTTTGATACGCCAATTCGCCTTGGTTCGGACTTACCATATACAAATACGGAGATAGTGGATTGTTCGCGAATTAACGGTATACCCATATTATCCTTCCACCATTTGATTTATAAACT